AGGGCAGCCCCTGAACTCAGTGCATGCTGGGACTGCCCCCATCAGCCATGGCCAGACCCAAAGAAGCAGAGCCTCACATTAGTCGTTTGGGAGATGGCACCAGTGGGGGAACCAGAGTGGGGCTGTGCCCACTCACACTAGGAAGAGTCTCTGGCTCTGCGAGGACTGTTCTGTTCCTTCCTTCCCTCCCCTTCCCTTGCCTCCCCCACAGGCTGACTGCAGCTTTACCTCCCTGACCTAGGGCTGCTCAGGCCAAAATGAACAAGACCTCACCAAAGAAGAAGCTATGAGCTATGTTCTGTGCATAGCTCTGTTTAAGTGAAAACAACTACGCTGTGCCAGTTTAAATACAATTCGCCTTTTCTTACTTATATAACATGGTAACCTTCTTTCAACAAATTCGCTTTATTCCTGGCCCAACAAAGCATTACAGAGCCCTTATGTTTCTTGGCTACAATGGCCAAGACCCTCAGAGGACAGCGAAGCTGTTCAGAGTCAGCATTGAGTACGTCTTGCTGGTACGCGTCAAGGCTTAGGTGACGCACTCTTTGCATTAAGAACTGGATGTTTGATGAGGGCAGGGGAAGCTGGCAGGATGCAAGTGCTTTCTTCTGCCTATTTTCTGCCTTGTGTCACTGTGCAGCTGAGTGCAAGCAGAGAAATGTCAGTACAGCCCAGGCTGCTTTAGCATCTCCTGAGAAGGGTTTTTCTTCTATCCAACATGCTCTGGGTGGTCCTAGGCAGGTCCTTGACCTGGTTTGGGAACATCCCTGGTACTTGCTTTCTCCAGCTGGACAGGGCTCTGGGTTTCCAGCAGGAAAGATCAGAATAAGGTTTCACCTCTGGGTCCCCACAACAATGATAACACTGGACCTATTTCCCAGGACCTTCACAAGCAGTCCATCATGGCTTGTGAGGAAAGCAGAGGAGAAGGGTTTAGAGTAGAGGTAGATCTGCCCAAGGCCAAATCCAGGTGATGATGGGCAGTGGTGATCACATGAGATCCGAGGAGATCCACTTCACTCCTGTTTGCTGGGGATAGGTGACAACTCAGCCAATGGAGGCCAGTTTGTGAAGTCAGCTGTTGTTTCAGAAAGGCGCCTTGTTAGCCTGGCGTTTTCCAAGAACATCAGAGCTTTGGCAGGGGCCAAGCAGCAGTCTGAGGTTAACAAAGCAGCCTCATGTAGACAGGCCCTCCAATGCTTCAGAGAAGTCCTTGGTCAGCAGCTTGGTACGTGCTGCAGAGATCTGTGCAGATGCCAGGGATGTCCCTTGCTCCTCTTCTGCAAGCCCTTCCAGAGGGTGGGAACATGGTACATCCACGGGACGAGAGTCTGTGAGATGCATCTGGAGAACAAAGTCTCCTAGGCCTGCCGGAGAGACAGCAGTTGCCTGGCTCCTGCAGGCATTTCTCCACTACAAATGAATGCTGCAGCCAAGAGCAACCTTTCAGTCGTCCAATACGCTGTCTCCTTCAGCAGTACTCAGCCTGCAATAGCAGCAGGAGTCTCAGGGGACAAGCCTGGCTGGAAATGTCATTAGCATGTGTCACCTCTGCCTGCTTGGAGGGATTAATCAGGATGAGGAGCTTGCTTTTTAATGAGCTCTTTCATGGTGTGTTATTGGGGTAGAATAAAAATAAAAGCCCCCAAGCGAAACAGATTTTCCAATAAAATTTATAGAGCATGAAAATGGCTTCTGGCACTAGGGTTCAGAGGTGGCTGGCCTTGTACATGTGAAGGCACCACCTTCCTCCTCCTCCTCACACGAAAACAAAATAAACAAACAGAAAAATCCAGGGAGCAGATAAGTGAAGTCACGTCCTTCCCTGGAACAAGTGAGTCGCCTTTGTTGGCAAATGACCCTTAGATGGATGAACTGCATCCTGTGAAGCATCTCTGCTCTGCAGGGTGGGCATGAGCCCTCCACCATGCTCATACGGGCTTAGCTCTTCTAGAAACCCCCTGAGACATCTTTGCACATCAGGAGCAGACCCACAGGCTTTTCTTGCATTGAAGTAGCACTTAGAAACCTCAACCCATTGGGCCATACTGTGCTAGGTGCTGTATGATTATTTAGAAGATGATGCTGGCCACAGAGAGCTCACAGACAAAATGCACTAAGTGGACAAAAACTGAGAGCAGTGCTGAAAGCCTTCATGCTTTATAGGCTATGGTCTGGTAACCACGCGGCAAGGTAGTGTGAGTCCATGTCTGAGCTAGGCACACCAAATTCCCTTTTAAAGTCAGGGGGGAGAAGAAGCCACCCCAAGGTGGTTTAGTCCACCCTCAGATGAGTGTCCAGGGAAGATGGAATGAGCCACTGTCTGGCCATTCTCCACCACTCAGAGGGGACTGCAGGTGAGAAGTTCAGGCTGAATATCTCCCTTCCAGCTCTTACATGAGGAGAGGCCACCCAGGGCGCTCCATTTCCCAGGGCATCATTTGCTTGGACATACCAGTGTAAGAGCAAGGGGGAAATGTTAGTGTCAGACCTTTTCTGAACCCCCCTGGCACCAGAGAGCAGAGCTGGCTCTGCCTGGCCTTGGTGCAAAGCTCTGGCTGACTCCAGCATGCATAACGGCTGCCCACCTTGGGAGCCAGTGTCCTCCTTTGGGTGAGGGACCCGGGTCGGGGGGTAGAGAGAAGGAGAACAGGGAAGGGAGTGCGGGATTTCCCTGCCCAATCAAGAGAACAAACTTCTTGTATAGTCCACCCTTCCCTCCAGGAGCGAGTAATCCTTGCAACCATGACAGCCACTTCTCTTTGCCCCAGAGAAAACTGTATAAATCAGAGCAGAACAAAAGTCCTTTGCTGGGAGCTGGGCATGTGCACTGCGTTCCAAAGGGTAGGCACATTTCTCTATAGATCTGAATTCTCCAGGGACTGTAACTTTGACAGCAGAGAGATTAAGCAAAGCAACCCACTCAACCTATCCTTCTCCAAGGTCTCTCCATGGGTGGAACAAACCCATCACAGTCAAACCACAGGGCAGAGCCATAATTCATACTTGTTACTTTGCTTCTTAGTTGTTTAATGGCCTATTTTTCCTATTTAATGTTTTCAAAGTTTTGAGTAATAATTACATAGAATGCAGGCTCCTTTGGCGTTAGAGCTGGAAAACTTAGAAATAATGAGGAAAAGCAAACCAAATGTACCAATTATTAGAGTCCTTGGGGAACCTGCAGAGCTCTAGTGAGCTGTATCCAAACCTTAAGAGAGGCCATTCAAACTATGTTCCTAGCTGGACTGGTAAACATGTACACATGAACCCTCGCTCGCCCACACACTCCTGAGTGAAAAGCTTTAAATCAACCCAATGATACCGGGTAAACTTTTAAAGTTAAAGTAACTACAGCGTCTTTTGTTATTAGCAATACCTCACGTTACAGATCTCCTGTGGGATAGTGCTGCTGACGGTATCTGTCATTCACACAGTGGTAAGAGCCAGCCAGATAACTTAGGAGTGGGAGAGAGCACTGATTTCCTCCTGTGCTCTTACAGAGCAAGATCCTTTTTCTTGTAACTTTTCTAAGCAGTCAGGGCAGGGAACTCATTTTTTTTTGCAGTTGTATTTGTACCGGCAAAGACCTGGGCACAGGCCAGCTGAACGAGGTACTGAAAATGAGAGTCATGGGGAGTTTAAGCCCTTCTGCTCCTCAGGGGTTGCTTGGGAATGGGCTATTTTTTTGTGAGCTCCTAATTATACTGCTATTTGCAGGGACAAATTGTTGGCTTCTGGGTTGTCCCCGGTCTGCCTACTTCAAGGATTGGTTATTAGTGATGTGTGTGATCATAACCTCAGTTAGCTGTGGCACCTCTCTGCCTGCCCCAGTGCTAGTGGGAGAGGCTCTCAGTGTGGTCTGCGCCTGCTGCTCCTTCTCCAGCCTCCCTCACATCTCCTGTGGAGGATAGTCCTGATACTGGGGACCAGTCCCTGCCTCACCAACCATTGCTGGAGCAGAGCTGAACATCTTTTACGTGGCATTTGCCTGCAGAGGGGACATGCTGTCATGGGCAAGAGACCTTCCAAAGGTCCCTTGAGGCACCTTGAAGAAGATGCTGGGAGCACCCAGCACCTCTGTTACCCTCCAACCACGGCAGGGAAGCAGGGGGCAATAACTGCTGTCCAGAAATACTCTTCCTCTGCATTGAATGAACATAACTGAAAACCTGGCCTGGAAATATTTTTAAAGGGAAAGGAAGTATCAAAGAGTAATGAATGAATAACAACCACATGTGAATATCATTATTCACACAAAGAAGTGCCATCTCCAAAATCTGTGCCAAGAAACCTACTGCCATGGAGTTCTCTCTGGATAGGAAATAACAAGAAATTGTGCAACTGCAGTTGTTGTCAGATCGTGAGATCAGAGCTAGGAAGTTTAGTTCTGTTTCTTGCCAACCTGCCTGGGTGTCAAATCGAAAACTGATTATGAAGTATATGTGTTTCACAAAAAAAAAAAAAAAAAATCACAGGAGTAACACTTTAATTAATAGAGACTTTTGTATGAAGCATTTTCATTTTCCAATGAAAAATATCTAAATGGAATAGAAACATTTCTGGTCTTATTTCAGAATGAAATGATTTCATTTGGGGTTTTGAAAGTCAAGCCAAGCCAACAAGTTTGGATTTAAAACAAAAAAAGGAAATATTTCTGTCTTATTTTGAATTGCCTTGCATCAGATAGATAGTCAAAAATCTTCATGGAAGGGAAGAGTTTTCTCCAAGCATTCAGCATTCACATCCAATTTAAAACAGTATGCAGAAAAAGTTTAATATTTTTAAACAGCTCCCTTATTAGTAGCACTGTAACTTCCTCTGCACCAGGATTGGGGCACAGCTCACCCGGTTTTGATCATCCCATTAATGTAAATTTGGTTCTAAGGTGGCCAGCCTGAGGCTGAATTGTCTCCAATCGGTTTCCAGAGAGGCTGAGCACCCCCCTTTTCAGTGCCCATCAGCAGAGGTGCTGGTCCCTCAGCATCTCTGGGTGGCACCAGACAGGTAGCTGCCTTGCAGCGCTTTGCTCTCTGTCTCCTGGCTGTATCCGATGATCACTTCACCCTGTTGAAGGCACAGGAGCCTGGCTGAGGGCCCAGATCCCACCAAAGCTTACGTGCATGCACAAAGAGAATAAGAGACCCTGTTCCAAAGAGCTTCCAGCCTGTACATTGACGCTAAATATATTTACAACTTCTAAACTCTGGGCAAAAAATGACAAAATGAGGCTAAATCTCTGCTTTCTATTTTTTTCTCCTCTTTAATGTAGGGTGGGTAAGACTCCTGAGCCCTGGGGATAGCCTTTATTTTCTCCTTTATGATATTTACTAAAGACTTAAAGATGGGAAGAGGCAGAAGCCTATGGAGTATATGGGCTGAGATGAAAAGGTCCCAGATCCCCAGCGGGATAGGAAGGCTTCCAACAGGAGGCACAAGCTGCTTGGCTTTGTTTCTCAATTCAAATATGGTACCATGCACAAAAGGAGGCGAATAATATCGCTCTCCCAGGCGGCAAGCCCACGCCTCGCTGCTGGCCATAATAATAATAATTCAAAACAAAACAAAAAAAAAAAAGGATGCCAGCCAGAAAAATGATTTGGGATTAAGGGCTCCCATGTCCCACCTGCTGGCTCAGGGTATTTTTCCACTGAATAGACACTCAGCTTCCTCAGACCTTGGGCACCCCAGGACAAGGCCCATCCCTTTCCGGGCCGCCATTGACATGCTGTGGGATCAAAATGCCTACAGAAAAATTCCCGGGCATTTGATCATGTGAATAAAAGGTCAACCTGTCAATGACTCCACTCTGGGACAAATGCTGGATTTATGGGGAAAGGGCAGCTCAGGTTTCCTGCGATGCAGAGTTTGTGAGGGGGACAGGCAGCACAAAGAGTGCTAATGCCTGAGCTGACCAGGCCTGGACAACTTAATGACACCCCAGGGGCTCCCTGTAATCTGCCATTATATCACCCCTTTGAGATGGCTTTCCTCTGCTCAGGGGTCCTCTTTGGGCTTTGCTCCCAAGGAACAAGGCCAAGCTGACTGGTCATCCCCTTTCTCAATCCCAAGGTGTGTAGACAATGGTCAATTTTCTCCTAACCGGACAAATACAATGAGGGAGTCAAGCTAGACCTAGGCGTCAATACAGCAGTTCTCTGATTCACATTCGACCTTGTACTAAAACCTGCCCCTTTTTCTCTGCAGCCTCCCCGTGAGTCCATGTAAACTTTTAGCATCCCCTACATCTGATGGCGAGGAGCACCACAGTTTGCCCACAGGGCTGCAGAAATGGTCTCCTTTTGTTTGGCTTGGATCAGGATCCTACTGGCTTCAATTTGTTGCCTTCTGCAGAAAGCCACACACATAGGTGAAGAGCATCCTGGCCCAAACTAGGGGTCCATCCGTCCCCGTGTCCTGCTCCAAGTGATGGAAGGGAGAGGCAGCTCAAAGGAAACATGGAGGAATGATGTCTTGGGGACACAGTTCTCACCCTTCTCTGCTTCTTCTTGTGAGGATGGGATTGAGGTAGCTACTATGTTTTTTATTGGTGGGTTTACATCAGCAGTACTCTAGAAACCTTCTATGCCATGGCCCTTGTTGCACATCCAGCCTGCTGTTAAGTCCTTCATGGTTAATGGAAGCTATTTCTGTCTGCAAGGTAAAACATCACTGTGTCATGGGACTACAAAAGAGGTTGTCTCAGAGATGGTAGGGAAAAACTCTGGTGGCCCAGCTCTGCCCTGATGCCTTCTATTCTGAACTGTGATGGGGACAAGCTGTGCCAGAAGGGAAGAGGGAAGCAGGCAGCCTTCTCCTCTGACCAGCTCACGAGCATCCTCTTCCTCCCTACTTTGGCAGATGGAGGGAGCGAAGGGCCAGACTGAGACTGTAAGTGAGTCTCAGAATGGACCCTGGTTGCCCTGATGACAAATATTCAGTGTACAGGACTAGGGCAAAGCCAGGATTTAAGTCAGAACTGGATCTCAGCAGCAACTGGTGTATTAAATAGCGTGATAGACCTCTAAGGACAGAGAGAAAGAGCAAATCTGGGCTTGGTTCTGCCCTTGCTTCCACTAGCTTTATGTAGGCTTGATTTGTCCCTGTTTCACACTGGTGTGCCTGGGGTGGCTCAGGGATGGAAGCTGTCCAGGGACAGCCTGCTGGAGCATCACTGTTTGTTTTGCTGCAATGAAGGGGCTCAGGGAGACATAATGCTGAGTTTTCCTCAAAATCCATAGTGTTCACACCCCGACGAAAAAGGATCAAGTAGGAGGCTCTACCACATTTGTCTGGGGTAAAATAAGAACCACCTCCCTTCCTGTAAGCCTAATGTCCTCTCTCTGAACTCCAAGCCTTCAGAAAGCTTGGAAATGAGCTCCCCCTGCTCCCCAGCCCCACCGTCTCTCCTTGCCCTGTCTGCTGCACAAGTTCAGCTTGGCTGCACAAGCTCAGGTGTTGCGAAGCCCTGTCAGCCTCAGGCAGGTTCAAATCCTGCTGCACGTGCTGAACAAGCAACCGAGAGTGCTCCTCAGCTGCAGGCGCAGCCCCGGAGGTCAGCTGCAGCCTGAGAGCCGGAGGAACATCCCGGCACCCTGTGGCATGCCTGCTTTGGCTGGCCCTGAAGCACCTTGGCAGACTCTGAATGAAGGCTCTGCCGGCCTCACTGAGCCAGAAGGTCAACGATGCTGACAAGGCGCCACAGTGGTACGGCAAGTAAAGGCTAAAATCTGATTTTGGAGGGAACTGAGCTCTGACTAAGGCTTCCTCGGAAAATAAAACCACTCTGTTGAGTCTCTCAGCCGGCTTGGAAACCTCCGCAGGCCACCTGGAGAGCTGTGCCCTTTGCAGTTTATACAGCAGGCACTGTTCAGACACGTCACTCTATTTATCCTTGGCATGGTGGGAGTTAAGACGCATTCTCCAGAGCACAGGTAACTGAGTGCTGGCATTTTCCATCTTGGGGCTATGCCCTGCTCCCACTGTGATCAATGGGAATGATTCAATTAACTCAACAGAGAAACTGCCATCAGCCCTCCCATCAGCTTTATCCAGCGTGGAACAAGCCGTTAGAAGCCCATAAATAAATAACTTTTTTTTTGAATTAAAGTTAGTGGGATTTTTTTAACTCATTAATAGCTTAGTCTACATGCCCTTCATTTGCCCAGCATATTGCATGAGTATTGGGTGTTTAATGGAAAATAGTGCTTCAGCCTCCCTCACAACTACACTGATCCTCCCACAGCTCTATACTGTGAGATGCTCTTTGTGGGCCCAAGATAACACAAAGGGGAGTCCAACTTTATCATACCAAGGGCAGCAGAGAAGTCCCAGTTTGGAAGGAAGGTTCAGCTCTATAGAGAGCATGGTGTAAAGCGGCACGGCATGTGCACCCACAGGAAAAATTCACTCTGAGAAGCTCCCACACCCAGCTTGGCCCCCGTTCCTCGTTCAACTCAGGACTCAGGTACTCAGGAGGCAGAACCCCAGGCAGCTCTTCAAAGGCTGGCAAGGCTAGGAATTGAAGTAGGAAGGAGTCAGAAAGGTCAAGACATAGGTAGGGATCTCTGCCTCTAGGGAGCTGTAGGGTCTCACTAGGTCAAGGCCACACAAAGAGATCTGGAGCAGTAAAGAGCAGGGCTGAGGAAAACACCCCATGAAAGGAGCGGTGCTGGGAATCAGAAAGCCTCAGAATGAAAGGATGGAGGGAGCTAACAAATGCTAGAGTCTTTCCTGGGCCTCTGCCCAGTGTCTGCAGGAGTGGTCGGAGCTGCAGGCTCACTGACAAGCTTTGCACTGAGAGGTGCTTTCAGATGGGCTTGCTCCTTGGCTGGACTTTTGTTTCCCTTGGAAGAGAAGCAGCCAAAGGGCTCATCTGTCCAGGCAAGAATGGGAAATGGCCACAGCCATGTCGCCAGAGGAAAAAGCCCCTATTTCATACTGACACACAATAATGCTGATGAGAGATTGCCTTCTCCTGCCCTTATTGTGAACTTTTGGGGTAACAGCACCATGCTAGTGGGGTCTGTCATGCTAGTGGAGTCTTTTACTCTTTCGCTTCCTAAGAATAGATAAATTCCATCATCCAAACCAACCTCAAGAAATACAAATCAGGAAATAATACAGCTAATAGAATGGAGAATCGGATAACTAAATAGGGGTTTGGAGGAAGCAAAGACACCTGACAGCCTCTGGGATCTGGTAAACACAATTGCCAGCTTTCTGATCACACCACCACGCTTGCCTCTCTGACTGCCCCTGCTTTGCTTGTTGATGACTTAGTGGGATGCTTCCAGCTTTCTTTTGGGAACACAACACATCCTGTATTTTGTAAGTACAGTACTTTTCACTGCATTCAGTATAAAGAATTTTCCTGTTGCATTTTCCATACCAAGATATTTGATTCCTTTCTAGCTATTTCAGGGTAAATTGTTTGAGCTCTAGAGTTGTCTCTAATGGTAGCACCAAGATACTGCTCTTCAGCAAAAACTTCTGAACCAGCCACTGGATTACAGAATTGGAAGGTGTACTGCACGCCTAACACCACTAAGTCACATTCTTTCCATCCACCTGGGCCTTTTCCGTAGATTCAGAGATGGGTTAAAGCCAAAGTGGACTCTAAGACTAAATCAAAGGGCACAATATCTACATAACCATACCTACATCAACCCCATAAGGTATAACAGAGCCACAGCAAAAATATCCATCAAAAAATATCACCTATCGCCTCGGTCTACAGACTTTGAATGATGGAGAACCAGTCTTAGCACTAGGGATGTAATTTGATAGCTAATTAGCATCCCCATTAAACAGTTGAGCCTTCTTCCCAGTGTTTTAACTAGCTTCAATTTCACTTTGCCTTATTTTGAGAGATCGGTCAATCACTCTCTTTCTTTTGTATCATCAGTTCTGCTATCAGTAATGACTCTTCTGGTCACCTGTACATATGGGTGAGGACAGGAATTGACCCATGTCCTTGAAGGGGTACATCAAAAGGCATTGCTAAAGAAGACAAGTTGGGGGCCATTACAGTCACAATGCACTACTATATCATGAGTCAATTATGT